CGAGTGAATGTGTAGTGAAAGCAAACATTGAGACCAATTAAGTGACAATACAGACAATGAGTGACACCACAAGTGATGATCACATATCGGATCCGTTACCCGACCCCAGAAGTAGAGTCAACGACGACTCGAGCGACGAAGAAGTGGACGACTTGTTTGCCTTACAGCTGAATGTGAGCCGAAACTCGAGTGAAGACAACAATGCGGTGACGAAGACATCGAAGGGTCGGCTCAAGAAGTCGGCCAAACGTCAGGCGAAGACACTGTCGTGCGATGTCTGCCAACCGAAGAGAGTGTTTCGCAAAACAAAGATCCGCGACAAACACGTGGAAGTGCTTCACTCGTCCCACGACAACAAGCAGGTCGAGGGCGTCGGCTGTTTGTGGTGCGGACAACACTTCGCCACTCAATACCAGCTCTCTGTCCACCAGAAGCTCTACTTTCACGACAAACCCTCTTAATTAGTAACTCATCTCTAAATTGTTTTTTTAATTATTTTCAATCTCTTTTAATGTTTAATTTTATCCAATTTTATGCAACATTTTATTAATGAATCAAAATATATTCAATTTAATGTACAATTCATTTATGTAATAAACAATTGATTAATCAATGGGTTTATGGTATAAGAGAATTGAGGATACGATTGGGTGATCATTATGTTTAATAATCATATGAATTGACATTTTTGTGTCTTCCCATCGATCGCATCCATCAGATAATTTACTCTTAAATCCAATACAAATCATTAATTATATTAACATTTATTAATAATGTGTTTCTTTGATCATAAAATGATTATTAAAATAATTAATGATTGAAATTGTGATCAATTGAAGGCAAAGACAAGACCTAATCTATGCTGTAATGTATTGTGGTTTGCATTTAGCGCTCAATTATTACATAACATTGACATAGAGTTAGGGATGAGTTGAATGACAATTGAGTGAATGTTTGCAAACATTACAACTTTTGGTTCAAAATTAATTATAAATGAGTTTATATTGTAATCAAACTGTGATTTGTGTGCAATAAAGACCACTAAACCAGTGATTATTGAAAAGACAATTAAAGTAATCTGTGATTGAAGTGAAAGTAAAAACAATGCAATGAAATGAAGAGTTGGTGTTTNTAAATGAGTTTATATTGTAATCAAACTGTGATTTGTGTGCAATAAAGACCACTAAACCAGTGATTATTGAAAAGACAATTAAAGTAATCTGTGATTGAAGTGAAAGTAAAAACAATGCAATGAAATGAAGAGTTGGTGTTTGAGAACCGGTTTATTGTATTGATTGAAGTGATAGTGAAGTGATTGTCAGGTATTTAATTGTATAATACATTTGATTACACAATCAGACAAACAGTGCATACATTGCCTGTGAGTCCAATTCAACACATCATTAATGCATTCATTAATTACAGAGATTTGAGTACAAGAGTACCAGTTGTGGGAGTTTTGGATCAAATGTCATATCTTTGACACTATTTTTCCATCAATTAATCGCTTTTATTGTTTGTATTTATCGTTCAATTATCGCATTATTTTGAACACAATATTTGTTTTCATTTCTTATCAACATTTCAAAAGAGGCCAAAAGTGTCACTCATTGGATCCGATGTCCGCACATATATTTGCATTCAATTAATGCAATTGAATTCTTGCCTTCATTTGGTCGCAAGACAAGTGTTTTTCTGTCAAAAGTCAAAAGAAAGGTTCAATTGATTGAGTAAATCGTGACAATGAGTGAAGAGGAAGACGAGGCGATGATATCGTTAAGAAGTGGTCAAAGCCGTCATTACTTGTCGCTGAGGCAGAGACTGGCCTTCAGTGTAGGCCATGTCTTGAACGATGTTTGCGCCGCCATTTGGTTCTCGTATTTCTTGGTTTACATGCATTTCGTTAATCGGTTCCACAAATCGGCCGCTTATCTGCTATTAATCGGACAAATAGCCGATGCAATCGCCACTCCATTCGTGGGCCTCGAGTTGGATAAAGTGAACGACTGGTGGATCTGCAGATATGGACGCAAGAAATGCTGGCATTTGTTGGGAACCGTTTTGGTTTGCGCGACATTTCCCGTCATTTTCAACAAATGCATCACTTGTGAGATGAGTGAAGAAATGGCACAAATGGTGTATTACTCGGCCTTTATAGTGATCTTTCAGTTCGGTTGGGCGTCCATTCAAATCAGTCACTTGTCATTGATTCCCGATTTGACTCCATTTTCCTGCGAAAGAGTAGAACTAAACGCTTGGAGATATGCCTTTACCGTTGTGTCCAATATTATGGTATATGTCATCACTTGGATTGTCTTCCATATTGACGGTAAAGACAGCGCAGATAACGATCAAATCACTCCGTCTGACGCGCCTCTCTTCAGGACTATTGTCCTCATTGTTATGGCAATCGGTTTTGTCTTCTCATTAATCTTTCACTTCGGAGTGAAAGAGAGACCAAAGAATAGACTCACTTCTAACCAAACCGTCTCAACAGCTCAAGAATCGGGTGATTTTAATTTGCCATCGATTGAGACACACCTCAAGTGGAACCACTGGTTCAAAGAATCTCAATTCTACAAAGTTGGGCTCCTTTATATGGGGACCAGACTCTGTATTAACTTGACTCAAGTCTATACTCCACTCTTCCTTCAAGACTCACTTCATCTCAAAAAAGTATTCATTTTTAATTGAATCTAAAACCGCGAAAATTAATTAATTCTCGTCCCAAAGGATAGTATCGCTTATATACCACTCCAATAGATGTCGAGACCTAAACAGAGTAGGAAAGAATACTTCATAAACTTGTGTTCTTAACCTTTCTTTCATTTCAATTAATTACGATATTAATAACTGTAAAATAATTTAGTATTAACAAACTATTCAACAAACAGCTAACATATCTATTGGGCGCCAGTCTATCATTGAGCGCCAGTACTTGGCTTTATTTCGGTACTTACGACCGCTTCAAGACTTACGATATATACGGAGTGTCCGTTTTAATGGGCATTTCTGGCTCTACAATGTTGATCACAAGTCTATCCATTACCAATGACCTGATCGGACACAACACTGTATGCATTCATTTAGAAATATTATTACATTTGATATTTTTAAATACAAATATATTTCATTTATTATCGATATGATAGTCGAGCGGAGCTTTTGTTTTCGGAGCGATGAGTTTTGCGGACAAACTGTCGAATGGGATCGCAGTTATTGTAATTGAAAACTTTCATCCGTGTAAGACATGCGGATGTAGTATTTGTGATGATTATTACCGAAATATATTGACCTTTGTCTGCGACTGTGTGAGAAATGTTATTAAAAGTTGTAGACCCCTTCAAATTCATTGTGTCTAAGTTTTTTGCCTAAAAATCGAGTTAATATTTGAAATAGAAAATTGAAAAATTTATTCAAGAATAAGGGATTGTAGATTATTGTTATGGAGAGTAGAAAATTTATTAAAGTTAATTATCTTAAGAATAAAACAATTTTGAAAATCAAATCAAAAACGTCAAAACTAAATGGTTCTACTAATATTAACATATAATTTAGTTAACATTTGTTAACTCTAGACTTTTTATTATTATTAATTGAAACTCAAAAGTGTTGCCAAAATAAGTAACTTTTTTTTGTTTAACATACTTACGAGCAAACCATTAGAACATTAAAAACAATTGTAATTCTTTTAATTATAAACATTTAATTACAATTATAAAATTATATTAAAACGTCAATTTTAAAAGTGAATTAAAATTGCGTTATATAAACATTGATTATACTGTATATTTTAATATAAGTAAGAATAGGTTTAAAATTAAGAATTGTTCTTATTTTATTAATTTTATGCAAAATTATAATAAAGCAAATTCAAATTTTAATGTAATTTAAGCTACATTAGTTTAGCACATATTAATGTTGTGTATAACGTTAATAATATTTTTATGGCTCATAATTATAACAGAATTGTTTTATATAAGAATTATTTATATTTGAATTGTTTTGTTCAAAGTTTTCAAAGACAATACAATTTGCAAAATAGATAAAGAATACTGTTTTAAAGATAAAAGCAATTAGTTATGAAATGTTGCAATTAATATTATATACACTTATTTTTGACAAAAATCTAGAAACAGAAATTCAATAATAATTAACAAAAGAAATAAAACAAATATATTTGAAAATTATGAGCGAATATCCTATGATATATGATCTTATATTTAATGTTTTTGGTTGTAATAAACATAATGTCTTAAGTAATGCTAACATTTTATGACAAGAAAAATGTTTATCTCGACTAAAATGAGTGAATTGTGAACTGCGGTTGAAAAGCAGTGATGAGTGCTATTAATATAATGGATACGAGTATTCATCTACTGTTGTATTCAAAATGATTGTTAGCGTTAATAGTGTTAATAAAGTAGAATAAACTCATTCAATGGTATAGTTATCATGTTTTGGACATAATTTATCGAAAGGCAACTCATTTAATGTTAACACAAATCTGTTTCAAACTTATGCACAGATATTATAAACATTAAGTAAGTTATGAATCATATGTATAGTGAAAAGAGAGTGAGAGAGGGCTATAAAGCAAACCGAAAACTATGCCTAACTATCCTAACTATGCCTACTCTTTGAGGCAGAAATAATAGGACCACAAAAAAGTACTCTTTTGTTATCACAGCACCAAATATGAGACAAAACTGAACCCTATTTGTGGAGAAAATGTGCCTTTTTTAGTGATTTATGAGCATATCATTCATATATACAAGTATTTATAGTTCACATGTTTTTTATTTGGAGACATATTTCGTGAAAAATGGAAAGCCTTTTCCGTTTACACAGTTATACCAACTTTTATCGCAAATTGTCTTTTGTTGTCATAATATATGTCATACAATATTTAGTATCATTACAGACAACGGAACAAAGCGCTAATCAATGCATTCAATGCTCACTAACTCTCAAAACATTCAATTGTGTCGCAAAAGAAAGTGAAAGATCTTCACAACTCATCCCATAGAGAGTCTCTCAAAACACTACTTCAAAAGACAAACTCTGAAAACAAATTTTTTATTAACAAATAATAACTTTTCTTATTTACAAACTCTCGACAAACTCTATACACAACTTCTCTAAATAGAAAACTGAATAATTCTAAAACAAAGACATTAATTAGCATTTGTAGCGAATATAAAACAAGTCATTGATTTTACTAATTATATACAATATTGGCTTTATTTTTAAAAGGCTATCATGTGGAATTTAAAATATCTTGTACTACTAATAATAGCATGGTTCATGTATGAACAAAGTAATGTATAATTAACATGATCAATTAACGCAACTCATTTATCATTTTAAACAATGTCAATTATTTTATAAAATAAATGAATTAACACTTTAGAAACATTGTTCTGATAATAAGAATTGATTGATAGTATTGTAATCCTTTTGTACAATTCTTATTGACATTTAATGAACTCAATGTTAATATAGTGTAAAACAAAAAATTTGAAATATAAAATTATCTATAATTCTTATTTATATGAAACACCTTGATAATTTAATACAAAAAATTATTAATTTTTTCACTCAATTAATGAAACTTTAATTGTTATTCAACATTTAATTACAGACTAATACCATGGTATATTTACGAAAATTGTTAGTAAAATTTTAATGCTTTTTAAATTTTACAACTTTCTAATTTTCAAATAAAATTATTTTCAAAATACAGAATAATTGACTGTTTAATTTAATTTCCCAAAAGATTATTTAAATTATAAACAAAACTTAGCATTTGAAAGTAACTTAATATACTGTATAGCATACAAATTGTATTGGATTGTCATATTCAGTATACATAAGATATGAAATGTGTTTTGTGTGAGAGAGACTGCAAACGGACAGCAATACCCGATTTATGGACTAATTTTTAGACACTGTCACAGCACTTAATGTAAAATGATTATTTATATATAATTACTGTTATATTTGTATAATCTGGTCAATCAATTAAAATACATAGTTAGTAAGTTATGCATAAGCATGATTATTTTAATACAATATTATTAAACATTATGGAACATGTGTGTCTTTACAATCATACAAGTTAATTCGTTATTGCAGTATACAAGTATGTAATAACTTATTACTAATAAGTTTTTAAATGAATAGTTTACTGCATTTTTATTAATTAATTACTCTTACGCTTATTTCATAATTTAGTTTGTAAACCAATTTCTTACAAATTATACATATTTTTATTTCTAAGATTTTAAAGATTTAATAACTTCTGGCATCTAATGTTTATATACTCTACATTTCATTGTACTGTACGTTAAAATAATTTCTAAATGACACTTTATATAAGTTCCAAATGACAAGCTTTAAAAGATTTTTATATTCAAATCTCTACAAAACTTAATAACAATTAAAAATGTATTGTTTGAGTGATAATAATTGGTTTAACCAATTGTGACAAAAGTGATACAACAATAGAAGACAATTGGTTGCAGCAATTGATATGAGACAAAACTCACCCATTAATAACTTACGCACTAATGTTTACATCAAAACTTATTAATAATATTAATAAAAGTTATTATACTTTTCACACAATATAAGACTTCGTAATACTTCATATCATATCATATTGTAATGTATTAAACAATTGTCAATAATTATCTCAAACATCAATATCAGTTTTATTAATAACTTTTCGCTTAAGAAATACAATATAAAACAATTCGTATAAATAAAATAATAAAATATTCAATTTATTCCATAATAATTGTAATTATAATATACTTAAATATATTCAATCATTTACTTCTTTTGGCAAAAATCAAACCTTTAGACTAGAAATAAAAACAATATTATTAAAAATGTTTCAATATATAAATATAATTTTCTGTACAATTTATAAACAATGATATAATATACAATAAAATATAATAATAAACGGATTGCACTCTAACTCTAATAATATCACGAATTATGAATGAGCGGTGAAATAGAGTTATCACATATATTATCGTCGTCTTCACTCTCGCACTCATCTTAGGTTAGAATTAAACAATTAATACAAATGTAAATAAATAGTAAATTTTATTCAAACCTCTATTGGAAGTATTGACGGGTGTTATTGAGTGACTGTTTCGGGATATACCTATCGGGTGCGGAGCCAATAGTGCCAATGCCATCAGCTGTTCAATACAATTGCAATTAATTAGTTCATTAAATATAAGTTACAATACTTTTAATCAAATCTAATTTAAAGCTGATTGTATTTTATGTGTAATAATAATTAAACAAAACATACGGTTAGAACAGTAGCCCCGCCGCAGACAAAGGTCAATATATTTCGGTAATAATCATCACAAATACTACATCCGCATGTCTTACACGGATGAAAGTTTTCAATTACAATAACTGCGATCCCATTCGACAGTTTGTCCGCAAAACTCATGGCTCCGAAAACAAAAGCTCCGCTCGACTATCATATCAATAATAAATGAAATATATTTGTATTTATAAATATCAAATGTAATAATATTTCTAATTGAATGCATACCGTGTTGTGTCCGATCAGGTCATTGGTAATGGAAAGGCTTGTGATCAACATTGTAGAGCCAGAAATGCCCATTAAAACGGACACTCCGTATATATCGTGAGTCTTGAAGCGGTCGTAAGTACCAAAATAAAGCCAAGTACTGGCGCTCAATGATAGACTGGCGCCCAATAGATATGTTAGCTGTTTATTATCAAACAATTATGATTTAATAAAATGTCAATAATTATAGCATTAATTAACTTTACTTTCTTTCCAATTCTTGTGTTCAAATACTTCATAAGAAAGGATGAGACAAATCCAGAGCTGTAGATAAC